GCGTAAATCCCGTTAAAATAAACATAAAATTGAACAGTCCCAGATACAATAAAATTGTGCGGGTAATAGGAAGACAATCGCTTTGCACTGCACTACTGCCTTTTTCAGTTAAAGCAGATCCTCGCTAAAAAGGAAACAATTGTTTGTCTTATATGGATTCTGGATTGGATTAGCAACGAATTCAATTTTCATTTGATGCACGGAGAGAAATTTCCACTAGAAACTTCCTGGCCAGCACGTCCGTAGACTTGCTTAGCTTGCACGTTCATAAAATTTAATTTTATTCAATCTAACGAAATATAGGAAAAAATATGAATAAAAAAATTAATGAGTAAATAAACTTCGCTTCGCTTGATTAGATCGAAGTTTCCAATCCCTATGAGAATAGAATATCGTGTTAAAATTATGTACAATAAGGAAATAACATATCTTGTCGGTTTTTTGCACTATTCGCTTATTAATTATTTACCAACAGTTTGATGTGTTATATTACATCTTTATCAACATTTACGTTTATCAACATAACAATATGCTTGCACTGCATCGTAGAACCAATCACATTCGTGTTCAGCTAACGAAACCTCCCGAAGATAGAAGGTATTGAACGAAGTAGGGCATCCGTCAGTAAAAAACTAAAGAGCAGTCCAGAAAATTTTACTGGAAGTGCAGTAACAAATGAATGATTCGTACGAAATAAAATTACTTGTCCAGTACTAAATTCATTGCTTCCTCAAATATGTCAGGTTCTCAGCAGTACATTTTAGAACATTAAATCCACTTCAGAAAAAATTGAGAATCACATCAGTCAATTTCATTGCTTCCCGTAGTAAATATTCCGCGGGACTACAGTGAGTTTTGGTGAATTTCATATGACCTTACATCGCTGCAGTGATATCCTACGTTTGCTGGTGGGAGACCAGTAATTTTTCGCGCATATATCCCTCATTGCGCAAAACAAAATACGTTACACGATTCAATAATACATGTGTGAATGTAAATAATATTAAAAATTAGGAGATATAATGCAGGTAGCAATATACTCCCAACACTGTAATCGTCAGTTTTTTTATTTAATCACTAGATTAACTTCGACAAAACATTAATCGTCATGTGTCATGAAGTTAAATTGCATCAATCATCTCTTTATTTTTAACGTATTGGACTTCGGGAAATGAATACGATTGTGGATTGAAAGCTGATTGGTGGATTATACATGAATTCGTGATGATATTCTTACATCTGTTTACGCGTTATATGCTATCGTAATCAGGAATCTGATTCCACTGAATGTCACGTTCAATTACGTGATTACGCCGCGTAGTGACATATAAAAGAATCGTGAGTAGATTATTTGAAACAAATACATTCAGCTGAATTCATAATGTTGCGGTATATTGTACTAATTGTGCTAGTACGTCTAAGCCTTGCTCAAGGTCAGTATTGATTAACTATCTACTATAAAGATTAATAAAAGAACCAGATCTACAATCTGATTATTCTATTTCGAAATTGCTCTACGTCGATGTTTTATTAATCAATTCGTCCGTTTAATCACTGCAGGTGCAACGAAAAGGGTTTTGAATGATGGCGAATATTCCGAAAATTCATTGAATTTCACTAATCTAGCTTCCAATGACTTGTGCATACGTCAAAACCAAGAGGTAATATACAGATCTATTTTGATTTATTTGTTTTGTAATGACAGCGATGTCACGATTTCAGATAACTGCAATTCCATATGTATGCCTACCAGTTTTGACTGAAAAAGGCAATGGGTGGACACGGCCATCAACATCAATATCAACATCACCACCAAGATCAAAATTATTAAGCCTGCCGGTGGGGAGTAAAGCAGTGGATCAGGACAACCAAGCACGGCCTCCACCCAAAATTCCATCTCAGTTGACTTTGCAGTTAGTACCAGGAGGATTTCAGATCAAAAAGCCGTCATCAGAAAGCAACAGAGATGCTACTAAACCATATACTGAAAATCACGATTTGCCAGCCGAATCTGCAAGTTCGGAGTCCTCAGATGATGGCATACGTACGCTGAACTCAAAAGTCGGTTTACAAAAGCACCTAAAGCAGGGGAGTAACTCAATGGATCAGGACGACCAAGCACGGACTCCAAACAAAATTCCGCCCGAGGTCGTTTATCAGTTAGTATCAGATATTGAGCTTGAAAAGCCTTCATCAGAAAGCAGCATAGATGCTACTAAACCATATACTGGAAATCATGATTTGCCGGCCGAATCTGCAAGCTCGGAGTCCTCAGAAGATGG